ATTCACAGTGTCACCAGCCACACCAGGGTGGTTTAGAGTGAAGGAGATCATTGGAGGGGAAGTTGAAGGAATTGAAGGCAGCATAGTAGAGAGGGGTGTGGCAGGTCAGATGTGTGAGGAGTAGTAAAGGTTTGAAGGGATGTTGTGGGACTTTCCGATCCCCATCCAGACCCTGATGACTCCCAAATCTCAATTTCCAACCCAGGCCTGTCTTACGAACATCAGGCTCATATATCTATCCACTTCCCACTCCACCTGATCAACTGCCTCCTACACACCCCACACAGTGATGGCACTGTGGAGCTTGAGGAGAGAATGTGACTTAGTGCCAAAGTCTCTGATGAATGGGGAGGTGTGACCCAAGAGGTTCATAGGTGGCAGCCATGCCCAGAAAGGATTTCCCAGGAAGACCTTGTGGCTTTTCAACTGGAGCCACTCCACCCTTCCCCACTCAGGTCTCCTTTCTTTCCGGCCTACTCATTTATTGCTTCTAATTACCCAGTTGGCAGTTGGGAAAGCAATGCCTGGTAAGAAGTGGAGCAGTAAATGGAGCAGCTGTGACCCACCATATGCTCCTCTTCCTTCACCCACCCTCTCCCCCTTCTCATCATCGACAGGTTCTGGAGTGCCGGCTCTGGAGCAGCCAGTCTGAGTGTGAATCTTGACTATACAGTAGCTCTTCCAGGCTGTGAGCATGGGCAGGTGACTTCACCTCTCTGTGCTCGAATTCCTCACCTGTATGACAGTTAAGGATAAGAGTGCTCTTGCTTCCATGGGTTGTGATGAGGACTGAATGGGCACCTGCCGGTAGTGAATGTCAGCTGTTTTGATGATGATTTCGGTTCCACTCATTTGCTTTTTTCCCTTGGCTTTGTCAGGTTCCGTCTGTGGCACTAGAGATTTTGCACTGTTGCTAACTCCTGTTTTAAGATAAGAGCAAGACATTTATTGACCTCCTGCTGTATGCCACATAGTGCCGTAGCCATTAATCTCACAGTACCTTTCTCATGGGGTAGTTGAGAGAATTACCTGCACCCAACTGCCTAGTCACAGTCTCTAAAGCACATGGGGCTGCCTTTTATCCTTTTTTTTTTGGTTAATTCTCACCTGAGGATATTTTTTCCATTGATTTTTGGAGAGAGTGATTGCCTCCCACCATGGCTGGGAATTGAACCTGCAACCCAAGTACCTGCCCTTGATTGGGAATCAAACCCGAGACCCTTTATTGCATGGGCTGACACTCCAACCACTGAGGGACACTGGCCAGGGCTATTATCCTAATTTTTTAAAGTTGGAAATCCAGATTCAGGGATAATTAATAACCCACCTGGCATCTTTCAGCTGAACTCCATGCCAGGACTTGAACCTATTTCTCCCTGAATCACAAATCTATTTTTTTCTTCCCATACCAGCCTGCCACACACCTTTTCCCTGTTCCTTTTCCTGCCTCTTTTCTTTATTATGTATTTTAGAGAGGCGGGGAGAGAGAAAAATCACTGATCTGCTGCCTCCTGCACACCCCACACTGGGGATCGAGCTTGCAATCCGGTCATATACCCTGACTGGGAATTGAACTGTGACCTCCTGATTCATAGTTCAATGCTCAACCACTGAGCCACGCCGGCCGGGCTCCTGCCTCTTTTTACTGGGGGAAAAAATACTGTTATCCAGTTACATCCAGAATCTATTAGTTGGATCATATGAAACTACTAATATGTGACCATAAAACTGGCACTTTTATGTGGTTCAGACTGGTACTTCTCTCTACACCCCCTCCTCCCCCCCCCACACACACACCCCTCAGTCTCCACCCTGGTCCAAATCCCCATATTGCTTGCCTGATTGGCTTCCCTGCTTCTGTTGTGGCCACCCTCCCCTTTATCCTCAAAATAGCCAGAAGGTAGGTCTGCTCAGGCCATGCTGCCTTCCTCCCCAGGCTGCCCATCATCTGGACCCCTGCTGTGCTGGGTGGAGAGGATTTTACTGTTTTTCCTTTAACAAAAAGTGGTTTAGAGAGTGCAACAAGTCCTAATTCTTGTTGGAATACTTAAGTATAAATTAAGAAAACTAAAGAGAATCTGTGAACAAACGATTTGTGGCCACAGCTTCTGTAGTAGTAGTCTTCTCTTTCCTGCTCACTGCGGTTGGCCCTGCTCTTCACTTAATACTGATGCTGCTGCAAGTTACTCTGGCCCTTGTTCATTCTCCTTGGAAAACCAGGGTGCACCTTCACTGTGGTCCTGCGGCAGCAGGCCAGGAAAGGGGATTGGGAGACTCCAGAGCCAAGTTGTAAAAGCCTCCCCAAGGCATCTGGAGCTCATTAGAGTAGTACAAAAACCAGTGCTTTGTGGCATTCACAGTTTGACATAATGATAGCAAAACCAACATTTATATTGTGCTGCCTTTACAGTTTACAGAGTAATTCTGCGTGCTTATTTGAGAGTCAAGGTACCCAAGAGGTTATGAACATGGACTCTGGAGCCCAAATTTTGGGTTCAAGTCTCCCTCCACCACTTACTATTCTTGTAACCTCTCTGGGTCTTGTTTTTTCATCTGTAAAATTTAACAGGATCTAGCTTGAATCCTGGCCCTCTGGCTTCTTAGTTGCTCTTAGCTCTTGGGCTGAGCAACATACAGCTTGTACAAAACTTAGATATTTTGTCCTCACAGTGCTGGTCATACTCCTCAAAAGTCACTTATCCTCTGCAGTTACTTTTTGGTAATTAGTAAAGTACTTTCGCTTGGATTCTTCCCTACCCCTTAAAGCAAAGGTTGCCAACTGGTAGCTCCAGGGTCAGGGTAGCCTGCAAAACAGTTTTATTTGAGCCATTTTTTTTTTTTTTAAATAGTAGAAGTTGCTTTGAATTGCAGTCAGAACTTTCACTTTAAAATCCAAGTCAGAACAACTGGCACTTCTAGACTCAGGGTCTCTAGAGGTATCAGTCAGCTGGAGCAGAGGTGCTGCTGTGCCCTTAGCACTGTTGGGTAGGGAGGGGTCCTCCCTGCCCTTAATGTCCTACACCCATCCATCTCTCCGCCTGAGGTTCCCTACCTGGTGGCTCCCATAGGCCTTTGACTGTGTAATCCCTGCACTTGATTTTATAACCATGGGTACCTCAGTAAGTAGCAATCCTGATGATAGATTCACAGATTGTGGGTTGGCACCAGCGGCATTCCAGAACAGATTGTTTTAAAGCTTATAGGTTATCAGGGACTCTAGCAAAGGCCTAATTCTTTCAGAAATGTTTACTGACTAAGCTTAACTCTAACAAGGTAGCCATGATTGGAAGAAACTTTATATTTGTAAAGTGCCCCCTCAAGCGTGTCACACAGTGACAGTTTTACCACCAAGCAGAACCTTGAGGTTATGGATGTAGATTTCTGGAGACTGAACGCTTAGCTACCAGCCTCATGGGTTAGATTTCATGGGGGCTTCAGCTTAGAGGAAGCTAGAACTATCCTTAGTGTATTTTGTCTATGAAGGGCAGGAACCATGCCACAGAGCTCTCTTAACAAACTCTGTCACAGGCCTTATGGTCTATGAGCAAAATGCTTGATATTAATCATGTGGGTATTTGGCTCCTGTTTTCTAAATACAGTAAGAAGACGTTGAAAGACTGGTTTGAAGGTTAGAATTTGCTACCTCTAGTGAGTCTAGGTATTCAGTTTTCACATTCTAAAGTTCAGTCTAGAGTAGAGGTGTCCAAAAAAAGGAAATTTGTAACTTCCAGATCTATGTTCTGGGGTTGCTAGGATAATTAATGCCATATTCAAACCAATGGCTCTCAAGTTTGTATAAAGAAGGCTGGTGTTTTGGACATTACCTGGATACGTGCATGGCACTCAGGGTAGGTTGCTTCATTGGCCCATGTTGGGGATACATTGAGCCTAACATATATGAACATGTATGATTGAGTTGATGTAGGGAATTCTGGGTGTTTAGATAGGGTATTCTGGTGTTTCAGTGGTGTAAACCCTTGTACCTCTGGAAATAAGACTATCTCTTTGACATTGTGATTTCTGAATAATGACACTTTATTTCCGTAAGTGTAACCTCCATGGTTAAGATTTTTAAGTTAATTTGAATTCATAAAATTTATATATGCCTTCGCACAATAGTATGAATGTACTTAATGCCCTGAACTGTGCACTTGAAAATGGTTAAGGTGGTAAATTTTACCTTATGAATATGTACCACAATTTTAAAAACACATTTGTTGTTTTAAAAGATAAAGTACCAAAAAAACCAATAAAGTACATATGCTTACCATAGAAAATGTGAGAAAAAAAATCCTACTACTTAGACACTTTTGATATTTTGTTTGCAGTTTTCCGTGCATATTTTTATACAGTTGAGGTGTTATTGTATTACCATACTATATTGATAACTCCATTAACATACATTTTGTAGAATAGGGGAATAGCCAGAACATGGACTATGGAGCCAAAATGCCTGAGTTCCATTTCTGGCTCCCCAGTTCCTGATAGGTAGCAGGAAGCAAATTACCTAACGTTTCTGTGCCTTGGTTTCCCCTATCTAAACCAGTGATTCTCAACAGGGGCAGTTTTGCCCCAAGGAACACCTGGCAATGTCTGGAGACATATTTGGTTATCAAAACTGCAGGCGGGGAGTGGGGGGTGTTACTAGCCGGAGAATGCTGCTAACCATCCCAGAGTGCATAGGACAGCCCCAAACTAAATTATCTGTCCCCAAGTGTCACCAGTGCTGAGGTTGAGAAGTCCTGCTCTAAGTAAGAGATAGTAGTACCTACCTCATGGGATTGTTATGAGTACTAAATAAGTTAAAATATGTGAAGAATTTAGAAAAATGCCTAGCATGTAGTAACTGCTATGTGTTAGCTATTACTGTTTATAAAATCATTTTCATCACTTCATATCAGTATTTCTGTACTTTAAAATCTTATAAATATTATTTTTAATAGTTTATGAATGTCTTTAGTAAAGTTTCCTTTTATATAAACATTGCATATTCCTAACAGGCCTTTCTTTCTTCCTCATCAGATGAAATTAAAGCAGAAATAGAAAAGCAGAGGTAAGCTGGGGCACTTTCTCCTTGCTGAAATACGATATTAAGGGAGTAGGTAGTGACTAAGGGGACCCATTTCTCGGCATGTTTTCTTAGATTTCTGATCCTTGGGCAGCACATACTCTCCTAGCCCAGAGCTGGACGCATTGTAGAGCTCTGTATGTGTTTGAACCGATGCTAGGTTAACAGGTTACTGGCTCAATAACTGTATTTGGAGGAAAGAGTAAGAAAGGTCACGTTAATGCTGTTGTACCTTTTCTTGACAAGAGGTAAAGCCCTTGTCTCTTGTATGTCATGCTTCCTTAAGCAGGAGGACAGCTTGCCCCTATAAGTGGCTGTTCCTCATCTTCACAGAAATGAAGCCAGTAGTCACATTTCAGAACTAGAGCTCTGACATGGCAATGCCAAGATTCACTCCCAGATGCAGTCGATACACCTCACTAATCTGAGACCTCGCTGTCTGCACGTGGCACTTGGGTGTTTTGTCCAAATGCATGTATGTATTAACTTTGAATTGTTTAGCCCCACAGATGCAGTTTGTAGGTATTTTTAATTAAATGATTGCAGATGGGATGGGAATTTAGAGTTAGGTGTAGGACAAGCAAACTTTTTGTTTTCTCATTTTCCCTCGCTGGCCCTCTCCTGCTTTTTTTCCCAGGCTTGGCACTGCCGCACCACCCAAGGCAAACTTCATTGAAGCTGACAAGTATTTCCTTCCATTCGAGCTAGCTTGCCAGTCCAAGTCCCCACGGGTGGTCAGCACATCTCTCGACTGCTTGCAGGTACCATGTTTAAGCTTAATTGTGTAAAGGGGGTTCTCTGCAGGCCACGCTAGTGAGTCTCCTGCTACTCAGAATACTTCCTGCGGTGACAGAAAAAGGCACATCCCAACTTACTCTTTACAGAGGTCTCATGAGGAAGGGAAGTAAGAGGGGACTAATTACCTTAGCTAAAAAAAAAATTCATTCCCTAGAGATACTATTTTGTTGATCTCTCTTACGTATGTTTTTCTAAATGAAACCTTTAGCATTAGTTGGAATATTTGCTACACATGGGCACTTAAGGAATTTTTATTTAATCTCTTCCTTGATGGCATTAAAATTCATAAAATCAAGTAGAGAAATATATATAATCAAATCTCATTATTTGTAGTAAAATCTTTTAAAGCTGTTATATGGTAAATGGGAACATGGGCCTCTTCCCATGCTCCAACTCCCCCTCCCACCCTGTGGGAAGATGATGAGGGCCATCAGTTAAGCAGACTATGAGACCTTGGGAGCCTGGCCAGCTCCTCAGTCAAGAAAACAGCGTTTTTGATCTTACACAGGCCCATCTCCTTCCCCTGCATGCCCTGTTTTTCGCTGTTTTCTGTACTCTATAAAACCTGTGCTGGGAAAGGCTGGGTGGCAGTGAAACAATAGCACCAAAATACTGCCTCCGGTGTGGCCAATTGCAGACCAGACGGGACCTAGCAGTTCAGCTTCACTGGTGGCAGCTGGTGTGGCAGTAAACTTCACTTTGGGAATCCAAGGGCAATACCCTGAGGTTTTCTGGGACCTCAGCACTTTGCATAATAGTTTCAAACACTGGTTTAGTAAATTCTGTACCATTGTTCCTAGAAGAAAATAGAGTTAGGTTCCCTTGAGCCTCTGGCCTCAGCATGTTCATCAGCTGATCAGTATGTGACTGTTCTCTGGGTATTTTGTTTAAAGACATCTTATTTGATATATGTTACTGATTCATTAAGAGTGAACTCACAGTCCACAACATTATAGCACATGCCTGAACAAAATTTAATACACATAATGTCTCCATAAAGTACACCACTGTCTTCTTTCTCTTAGTAACTCTAGACAGCACTAGATTTGGGGGCTATTTTGCCCTATTTTAAAAGGACAAAATGGGGAAAACATAACATTAAATGGACCACAAAAAAAGATACTGCTTACAGTCTGAGGACTGAATCAAGAAGTCAGAGTGTCGCCTTGTTTGATCTCAGCTGGGAACCTGTGCATTAAGTGATTTGAATTTTTCACTGCTCTGTACATGTCTGCAAATGACCACAAAATCACCACAACTGTTGATTTTGGGCTTACAAATAAATTTTAGTGAGTGGGTGCATTTACAAATCCAAAATCTGCAAATAATGAAGATCTACTGTATTTAGACCACCATTAACCTTGTCATAAATTACCTTTTACTAACGAAGAAGCAGTAGAGAAGTTAGGGTAACTTGTTCAATGATATACAGATAGTGAGAGACAGAAATAGGGCTACAACTTGGATTTAATTCCTAGTCCAGCATCCCTGTATTTTTTTTTTTCATTTTAAAATTATATAGGTTTCAGAAATACAATTCTAAAATACATCGTCTGTAGGTTGTATTATGTGTTCACCATCCTGTAATTTTTTTTAATGATCTACTCTTGGGGTTTCTAGTTACCTCAGAGGACATTTATTCTTAAACCTGTGGGCAGCCTTCATCAATAAAAAAAGATGGATACATTTTTAAAAATATATTGAAGAGATCCATATTTATTGGTACTTTCTAGAACAGGAATAGTGAATAGGTTCTATATTATGGTTGTTTCAAAGCTGTGTCGAAAACATGAAGCCTCATCTGGGTTTCTTTAGAAAGTGCCGTGATTGATTGGTTATGTCTGCTGAGGCACAGGGCTGGTGCTGATAGTTAATGTTATTGATATACTAAGCACAATGGCTAACGTATTGAATGCTCAGCCTATGCTGGGCCCTGTGCAAAGTGCTTTATTCTCATCATCAAGTTTAATCTTCTCACAAACCCCCTGAGTTACTTACTCTTAGCCTTACTTTAGAATCAAGGAAACTGAGGGTTGGAGAGTAAAATGACAAGCCCCACCAAGTTCCCCTGGCCCAGAAGAGATGGAATTGGGTGCATGTGTGGGATTTCCTTACCCCACATCTGTGTTCTTAACCAGGAGTCCTTAAACTATAGCCATGAGCTGTATCTGGACTGCCACCTGCTTTTGTAAATGAGGTTTTATTGGAACATAGCTGCCTTAATGTACTTGGAGTAATACAACAAACTAGAGGCCCAGTGCATGAAGCTCGTGCACCGGTAGGGTTCCTGTGGCTGCCAGCTGCCAGCCAAGTACTCCCTCCCTTCCCCTGGCCGGCCCCACCCCCTGGCCGAAATCCCGGACAACTCCCGGTCAGGGGGACAATTTGCATACTATGCTTTTATTATATAGGGTACCACAGACAGGGTGCCTAAAAAAGAGACATTTATTTCCCATAGTTCGGGAGGCAGGAGAATCCAAGATCAAGGTACCAGCTGATTTCAGTTCCTGATGAGAGCCCTCTTCCTGGTTTGTAGACAGTCAAATTCTCATTGTGTCCTCACATGGCATAGAGAGCTCACTAGCTCTGTGGTATTTCTAATCCTTTCCTGAGGACCCCGCCTTTATGACCTTGTCTAAACCTAATCACACCCAAAGGCCCCACCTCTGAATACCATCACACTAGAGTTAAGACTTCAACATAGAAATTGTGGAGAATGCAAGCATTCAATCCATAGCAGTAGCCATGCCTGTTCATTTATGTGTTATCTGTGGCTGCTGTGGCTGAGTTGAGTAGGTGGAATAGAGACCATATGACCTGCAAAGCCTAAATATTTAGTATATGGTCCTTTACAGAAAAAAGTTGTTAACCCCCTCTCCCAACTATTATCCTGTAGTTCTGGCCAGTTTAATTAAAAATATGGTCTGTTATCCTAGAAATACTCTGTTTGTGGAAATCTGTGCATGTGTATGATTTCTGTTGGAAACATCAATGCCCTACGTTGACTTTGAGTTGAAAATTCAAGAGTAGAGTGCCTGTCTGTGGCTTATGACATATGATTAGCTCTTTTTTAGGATGAAAGTTCTCTAATTTGTTAGGGACTCCTGTGTCATCCTTTCTATGACATAAAAATACTAAATGAAAATTTAATCTCCTCTTGGTGGTTGTCCTTGCAAAGCCTGTTTGACTGGCTTTTCCCAGTATGCGTGAGGTAACTTCTGTCTTGGAAATGGAAGGCCAGCTGGGTAAAGGTTGGTTTTGGCTGGATTGGAGCCAGCTGCATACACATCCTCATTCTGCCCTGGGCATTTGAAGGTATCTTCTTTGAGGTTGGAGTGGTCAGGGGTGGTAAAGGTGTTTCTGGGTTTGAGTTAGCTCAGAATTTCCTCTCCCCATTGGAAGAAGCCTCCCCTCTACTTACTTCTAATAAATGATGAAGATCCTCTGCATTCCTTTCCTTCAGCATCTGGTCTGCCACACACTCTCCCAAGGCCAGGACTGGGGAAGGAGCGTTCAGTTCAGTCTTGTTTAAGTTAAGGAATGATCTCCATGTTTCTCCAGGCACATATCAGTAACAAAATGTTTTAAAGACTATCCTCCTAATGTAGTCATATTTCTTCAATGGTAAGATTATACATATGTCCTACTGCTATTAAATTATATATATTATAAAACATAAGAAAATAGAACTTTTAAAAAGATAAGACAAAAAATACGTAGAAATAAAATTCTAATATTTTTTTTACACCCCAGTGAAGGCTGTAGGAAACCACTGGTCTAAGCTGTCCTGTTCGTACCACAAACAATGTCCTGTTCATACCACAAACTCATTTCTAGAAAACTTTGGATTTTTAAATGCAAATTTGTAATTATATAAATTGTATATGACTACATTCTTTGTTAAAATATTTTTAGAACGTTACCAATGAGGCCAAAATCCCTTGGACCACTAGCCCCAAACCCAATTGCCTGTTTAGGTGTATAATTTTTTTCCTTCCTTTCTTATAATTTTCTTTCTTTCTTCCTCCCTCTCTTTTTTTTTTCTTTTTTACATAAATGGTATCATTTTTACAAATTTTCCTGCAGTTTTTTTCTATTTAGCAGTGTCTTTTTTAGATCTAGTTATATTGGTATAGGCAAATATAAGACAATCCTTTTTACTGGTATGTGGAATATTAATGCTACTATTTTATTTATCCCTTCCCCTATAGAGGATATTAACTTGGGGTTACAATGAATACCCCTGTGCATGTAGCTTCCTTGGACACGTATCAGTGAGCCAGCTGCCCAAAGGCCTCCCTCCTCTGTCTCTCTCTTCCCATCCCCTTACTGTATCAAGGATCAGGGCAGGATCTTCTCTCCATCTCTGTCATCCCCCAACGTCAAAGCCACCAGCAGCTGAGGTGTCCTCACTGGTCCTCTGCTTCCACTCCTGTTGCCCTTCAGCCTATTCTCCACACAGGAACCAGGAGAAACCTTTAGAAATGTATGACATTGTGTTAATCTTTTGCTTAAACTTGTCAGTAGAAGCTTCCTACCTCACTCACTGCAAAGTACTTTTCTCCAGGGAGTTTGCCAAGCATGCTCAGGCCACTGGACATCAGATATGTTTCCAGGCTTTTTTCTATGCATTTATAAAAATACATAATTTTCTATTTTTCAAAAATGAGATAATGCTGTGCATTATTGCTTGCTTTTTTTAAGATGACTACAAATCACACAGGGTCCTATGGGTCCCAGTCCAGACTTTTGGCTTTAGTCTGTCCCACTACCCCCCGGGAGAATATAAACCCTAGGAGAAAAAAGACTGCCTTACTCACTATTGTACCTCCAGTACCCAGAACAATATCTGGCACAAGAAGGAGCAGAAGGCAGAACTAGAGAGACCACAGAATGCAGGAACTCTGCTTTCTTCTGGCCCTGTCTCTGCACAGACAGGGGAGTAAAATCATACTAAAACCCATTTCAATTTGAAGGGTCATGTGCCTTTTAAGGAGTTTGTAGTGGGAAGAATAATTCCAATTTTTTTAAAAAAATATATTTTATTGAGTTTTTACAGAGAGGAAAGGAGAGAGATAGAGAGTCAGAAACATCGACCAGCTGCCTCCTGCACACTCCCCACCGGGGATGTGCCCGCAACCAAGGCACATGCCCTTGACCGGAATCGAACCCGGGATCCCTCAGTCCGCAGGCCGATGCTCTATCCACTGAGCCAAACCGGTTTCGGCCCAAATTTTTTTTTTTTTGTATCTGAATTAAACATCTGGTAATTCACTTCCATCTTTGTTTTGCAGCATTAGTGTTGGATTCTATGGGGCCTACTTATATTTTTTTAAAAATTTACTGTCCATAGTATTTGTTAATTGTTTATTTATCGAAACTATTCCTTAGTCCCAGTATTTATGTTTCATAGTTCAGGAACACAGGTCAGTGACAAACTTCCATGGAACTCAACCCAAAGAAATTCTTTACATTCCAAAATCTGTTTGCACTCTGAAAGATACCAGCATTCCTCTTCTCCTCAAAATGTTTTATGGAATCATAATTTCTGTAGAAATCTGCATATGCCTTATTTCTTGGTTCAGCCACAATAAGCTTAGATAAAGCCGAAATCCCGAGGATACAGTGAATGCTCCAACATGAAATCACAGATGATTGTCCAGAGGCCACGCATCTGAAGTTTCGTCAAAGCACTGGAAGACATGATGATTATATTCTTCTCAACACCATCGTCCTTCCTGATTGTGCCTCCTTTTCAATATTCACATTTTAGGAGTTCATAGATCATCCCACTTTTCCCAGTGCTCAAATCAGACTTGAGTCCATTAGGAGTAAGGAGTAAGCAGTGTCCAAACCCAAAGCTCGTTTAGCAGGTAGCCAGCATTGCCCTCTTGGGAAGCCTGCATATACAGCAGCTCTGAGGGGATGAGGTAAAGGGCATTTTGACTTGTTCTTCAAAAACACACTTCGGCCCGGCCCACATGGCTCAGTGATTGAGCATCAACCTATGAAACAGGAAGTCACAGTTTGATTCCCAATCAGAGCACATGCCCATGTTGTGGGCTCGATCCCCAGTGTGAGGCATGTAGGAAGCAGCCGATCAATGATTCTCTCTCATCATTGATGTTTCTATTTCTCTCTCCCTCTTCTTTACTCTCTGAAATCAATAAAAATTAAAAACACACTTCGGTCCCCTACCCCTTCTCCTACCCAACCCAAATCTGGAGATCTGATCAGCAGAGTGTGTGCAGGCCTTTCTCCTGCTCATTCAGTCACCCAATCCAGCAGTATCATATTTCTACCCTCAGCCATTCTCTCTTAATCTGTTTTTCTTCTACCATGGAATGCGGGGGGAAAGCCATTAGGAAACAGCGTCAGGCCTCTGCAGGGTGGTGCGTCTTCCTGGGTAGTGGTGGCTACACTGTACATAACCTCAGATGCTTGTCACTTTGTGCAGATAGAGGCGAAAATGTGACAAGCCAAAAACCAAAAAGGATAAGGAATAGAATAGCATTTTTAAGAGTCTTTACTAAGTCCCTAGAAGCAAATGATGATTTAGAATTCATGAATCCCAGATGATTTGTGTCAGATGAGTGGTTCCTTTCAGCCTTTAAAATAGCCTGGATAGTTTGGAGAAAAACAGATTCCTAGGCTCCACCCCAGATTTTGTGGTTTCGTAGGTTTAGGTTGAGGTCCAGGAAGCTGTATTTTTAATGAGCTCTCTCAGGTGAATCTGAATCTCAGCCAGGCTTGGAAGTCATCTGCCTCCAGACCTTCTCCATGGTGAAATCCAGGTCACCATTGAGGTGACAGGCAGGTTGCCTCTGAAAGGTGGCCCCTGTCCAAGCTGATCTGTCACCTGATTATGAGGTTGTGGGCCAAGCAACCACTTATCTCTTCAGCCACGTGGGTAACATGCACTGTTTGATAACATACGTGTGGAATTTAGTGTTTTTGCTTTAATTTTTGGAATGGAAAATATACTGATGTGACTCAACATTCAGAAAGAATAAAAGAGTGTAATATAATGAATGGTCGCCAACCGGTGGTCCGCGG